ATGTACCATCGAGTTCTCCTTCGTCTAGTACGAGGAATGATCTTCTACCTCCAGCACCTGTTGGCTGCATCAGAGGATTGTCTACTGAAGTCTTTGTTGTGCAGAACATCTCAATGAAAACTGTCCTCAACTCTGTTGTGGTGTATTGCTGCAGGACTCTACCACGATGAGTCATCAAAGAGGTCAAAGTGTTCCTCTGGTCCTGAGACAAATCCGCAAGTGACAGCATGAGTAAGGCAATGAGATTCTCTCCTAAAGGAAAATCGTTCTGATGAAGAATTCTCATATTGCCATTGACATTCTGCATGATTTCCTGAATTCTTTCCGCTGTTGGAGCTACTCCAGTCATCGCTGCATCAGCTTGCATCTGTGCTTGTACCTGAGGATGTACCTGTGTCACTGGATCCAACATGTCCATCCAACTGCTCATAAGCCTTTGGAGTAAAATCTGAAATCTTGTCATCCACTTCATCATGTCGGCTGATCCGCGATTGAATCGCACGAATTGCATAAACCTATACAGGAATACATTGGTTGATCCTTTCACAAAATATGGTCGTAGTACTCGTTTGAAGTATTCTACTCCAGCTCCTGGTGGATCATTTGCCTTCAATGCATCTCTGTCTAATACTCGTTTGTATACGGCTGCTTCTCCTTCTAATCTGTTTCTCAATGCTGGTCCTCTCTTCTCATCTTCCAGCTCGGTGATATCACACCAATCGTTTATGGCATCCTCATAGGAAAACCATGAAGTCTTTCCATCATAAGATGGGGGCACCTTTGTAGTGACCTGTGTTGTCATTGCTATAGCTGCTGGTTCTCTTCTCACATGCCTGTTCACATAGGCTGCTGGCTCATAAGCCACATCCGCATCAGGCTCTTCCCAGTCGTCAATCCAATCCATGGCCGTTTGCCCACAAGCAAGTCTATGCCTAGGAAAGGAGCTCACCTGGGTCTTCCAGGATCACTGCTCCGCTACCACTGAAAGAGTGACTAGGGCGTACACGATTGAGGTGCAGACCGCTAGTGTCTTTTGCTCACGCAGAGTCTTATCCTATACCTCTTAGCGTCTTGAGCCTTATGGCAGTCAAGTATGGACACACTAGATAGGCCACTGGAGTGGAACCTGTACAAGTAGGCTCTACATTTCAGGGGGGTGGGGAGGGCAATGACGTCGATTTTCTTTCGTTCGTTCACTTGAAGATAACTTTGTACTTCGTTTACTTTAAGATAACTTCGTAATTTCGTTTGCTTTACAGCGGCGGTGCTCCTGCATGGCCTACAGAGGCAAAGGAAGCTCACAATAAACTAAAGACAGTGCAGGTGAAACATGTGAAGCAACAGTTCACGAAGAAACTCAAAAAGAAGCCTACGCCCACGTCGTCGAAGATAGGTGGAACACGACAGCTCATGGAAAAGCTTGAAAGCTTGAATATCCAAGCATGTGAATACAACCTTTGCAAAGAGCCGAGCTGTCAATCCGGAACTCTTGAACTATGTTCGGAGTTGCAGTTTCCGTACCACAACTGAGGCGATGATCTCATCCCTGCCATCGCAAAAGCGATGAGAAGCGGGTCGAAGTGAGCAGGAAAATGCAGCGCCGCACACGCCTAAGTATCAAAAACTTTTCCGAAAACGCTGTTTCGCCTGCAAGTTGAACTTGAGAGAGGAGGGGGTGAACGAAAGGTAGCAGGGAATCAGGCGTAACCCTGGAAACACTGGTATTAATTGTATTTACGGTGTTTTGTGGCCACTTTGAAGCGTACATAGCTTGAAACCATCCCAATATACAGGGCTTTGTGCCACTTTGAAGCCTCTAAGCACCGCAAAAGCCCTTTCCACGACAAAAAAACCTGCAAATAGCGTGGCTTGAGGCCACTCTTGAAGATAGGAGGAGCTGAACACATGAAAACACTGGCATTTACGGTGTTTTGTGGCCACTTTGAAGCGTACACAGCCCAAAACCATCGCAATTTACAGGGTTTTGTGCCGGGAAGGCGCACAAACCCGTGTAAATACCGTCGTTTTGTGCCATTTAGAAGCCTCCAAACGCCGAAAAAGCCCTCTCCGACAAAATCTTTCCAGGTTTTTGGCAATTTTTCGACCATTTTTGAAGCCTAGACACTTCAAAAACCATCGGTTTTTACAATGTTTTTGGCTGGACAGCCACAGAAAACCCTGTAAATTGCGCGGTTTGAGGCCACTTTTGCAGACTGGAGGAGCTGAAAACACTGGTATTTACAGTGACTTGTAGCTGTTGACAAAGACCCGCGCCAGGGTGGAGTTGAAAGGGGGGGAGGGCTCGGCCCTTAAAAGTAAATGTCGGAGGCGATTTCTCAGTGAGATGGGTGTCCACTCTGGTTATAATTCATTTTTGCTAAAGCAAAAGGAAAACTCAGGTAGCGTAACCGCTACCTTTCGTGATACATTTGGATAAAAACACTTTTGCTAGAAAGCGAACACAACGCAAAAACGATGACCCTCATGAGACGTTGCGTACACCAACCATGCAAATTAGCGCGACGCCTTCCCGACGTCCATCCCTTGTTTTTCTATGTGTTTATTTTTGTTTTTTTCCAAGAAAAACACAAACGAATCCTCGCTGAGCGCAGCTTTCCTGTGCTTGAAAAACATGTGTCCAGCTTCAGAACTAGCCCCAAATTCCACGACGTGTTTCCAACCGGAAAAAATTGGGGGCAAAAAAAGGTGTGGCTGCAGTTGACCAAGTCATTTCTTTGAGACGCTCAAACTTCCTCCGATTCCGCGGGTCAAATCGTTTGGCACCAGCTTTTCCATCACCAGCGTATGCGCCGGATAGGCCGGATGCGCCGGATGTCGAGGCCTTCCAACTGACGCTTACAATTCAATCCGAACAGCCAGAAGGCAATTCCTGACACTCGCAGGGGCCAGGATTTACAAATTGATACCACGCAATGCGACTGCAGGTGGTGACTCACAATTCCAGGTCTGCTTCACTTGGGTGCAAGCAAGTCCAAACTTCCAAGCAACTAACTAAAACAACACATGAAAACTTCTGAACTCGTCCGTGAAACTCAGCAAACACCCAAGTCGGCCCACAAAGTTCAAACTTAGTGAAGGACTTAGTCCGGTCACTTGTTCGACGAAAGCAGGGAACATTCCGAACAGCGGCCCAAAATGCATTTTAGCCTCTTGGCCGATGGAAAACACGATGGCCCCGGCAGCCCCAGGCCTGGTTACAAACTATTTGTGCAACGCGAATCATTGCAACTGAAGGACAAGTTCAAAACTGCAAGTCTAGAAAACAAAGAGGTGAACATGACCATCATCCCAAATACGAGTATCATTATCATGCTAAATCTCAGAAACAGATTGACACTGTCTGTCAGCATGGCTGCTGACTTTGATCACGCGTTGACTTTGCAAAATTAGACTCCTCAGGACCTTCAACATGATGTTTGAATAGCACAAGCTTGGCTGATTGGTGTCTGACCAAGTGGCTTACAGTGGCCATATATTCCCAATGACACGGATTTAGGCTATGTTCAAGTTTAGACAGAAGAGCCGCAAAGCCTGGTGACCCTGATCTTGCAGTCTTGTCACTAGAACACAGCAACTATGTGCTTCTACCGTGGCAAGTGAAGACTAGTAAAGGAGTCGGGCGAGCTGAATTTGTCAGAAACTGCATATCTGTGAGTGGACTTCAAAGATTTTGTGAGCAAATCAACCAGAGTCCAACATGTGTTGTTTGTGTTCCTGATGCTTTGGAAATATACAGCTGAATCTTCTGCTTAGTGAGCGGTGGCAGAATCAGGTATGATACATGAGGAAGAATCCTGTATGTGTCACAACCTATGAAGTTCTACGTGTGATTCGATATTTGTCACTCATTCTATAGGGGATATGACGGGATATGTTGATGGGGATGTTCTATGAAGGTATTTTTCACAACCGCTACAGCACAGGAATTCTGATAGAACTGGTGTGACCGTACGTCGTGTACGTCGGACGATGATTTGGTTCGACCGAGAAAGCGGCCGTGGAGAATGTGTTCACCGATTCGGAAGGCATGGCATTCACCGAGCTGGTTCTGATGGAAACCACAGTTTTCCATCAGAGTGAATTGGCTGACACGACAGGGGAACTGAGCCATGTGTTCGACCAGGGAAGTACTCACCTGAGCAGAAACAGTTCTGCCGCTGACTGCTGTGCCACAGACCAGTTCGGATGATCAAGTTCGCTGATCAAGGTACAAGCGTCACAAGCACCACGCGTGATGGGCTACAAAAATCTGAGCGCGGGGGAACCGCGGGCTATGGCTCCATGTCAGTTTCCCTGAGCAGGATGCGCAAACGTGTCGACGACTTACATGTCCGTTTGGATCAACATGTCTTTGGGTCTGAAGACCTTCAATCAAGGACCATCAAGCAAACGTACCTGGGTGAGTTTCGGCCAGGGAAGATTCGTGCATCAGCAGCATCTGGGAGGTATGTAGATCTGTATATCTGCGAGCGAGAGAAACAGATCAGGTCATTGTGTCCTTTAGGCAACGGGCGATCGCCTTGGAACAATTGATGTCCTCGCATGTCCTTGCTTATTAAATATTGATCCAAATCGCCAGCCCGTGCAGTCATGTGTTTTCTTGGCTTTTATGCGATCTTCATGCTTTGCTGACACAAAGGTTTTGGTATTGTTTGATGGTGCCACCACACCACTCATGTTTGGCTGTTGTGCGAGCAATTCTTTCGGATGGCGCAACTTGATGGCGTCAGAAGCAATACAGTAGCTTGTGACGTGCACAAAAAGGTCTCCAAACTTTAACTTTGCCAGTTCTCAACAGACTTTGACACGCAACTTGCTCAATGCAACAATCCACCATGACTTGACAGTTGACTTAAGTGTTCGCCAACTCAAGTTCTTGGATTAAAAAAGGCAATAACTTACTTGCTACAGCATTGAATATGATTCAATGATGTTCAAACTACTAAAACATACTAAAACTAAATCCTGTCATGTAATTGGTTCGATCAGTACTTCTTGGTCCCGAGGACAATCTCTATACGCAAAAGTTTGGTGGCAAAGCTGCTTGAGCATCACAACGGCAAAGTTTCAGGTACGGACCACGCCTACTATGGTTTTCTGTGCCATAGCCTCGACATGGTTTGGTCGTTGCCCTATCGGCCCCTATCATCCAGGGTCTAGAAGCATGGCAGAAAGGAAAGACACCCTGGTCGCCTATACCTTGCTACATAGTCTTCACCCCCTTGCCCCGGGCAGCACGCAAGCGTGCAAAAAGCACAAGGAATCATAAGATAGTGATATTCGGAATCTGCCATCACCCAAGACTTATGCGTTGTTTTCTGCTGCCTTGCAAAAAGACCTGACACCAACACATTATTCCTGGAAAGAATCGATTGCAACTTCTCTCCCTCCAAGTTTGGCATCAAATCGGCACTGGGTTCCGGCCCAATGCTCAAGCAGTCTCGCCGGAATGCTAGCTATGGTACTCCTTTGTAGTCATCCGAAGTGGATTCCTAAGCACTGGAGGGCTCAGCCGGCACAGAGTCAGACAATTCGCCTTCCTTCTTCTCTGCTGCCTCATCCTGCTTGCGCCATTCGTCCATCATCTTGGCCAGTTGCTTCTTGGCCCGATGGACCATCAAGAGCACCTCACAAAAAAAAAGCATCTATACTGATTGGTGCTTAGCAGGGAATGAGGGAATGGATCCAATAGAATCTCTATTGGGGGCTCATTCCCTTATTCCCTACTAAGCACCAGTCAGTATAGTTACCTTTGACTCCACGGTTCCTCACATGGCACACCTGTAATGGGTTCGTAAAGAATGATTTTTGCGTCGGTCATAGTCGAGTCATAGTGATCATTTTGCTACACTCCTATAGGCACTGCAGCTGCACCAAGACCAAACCACCACTTTCCGGATGACCCTAGCAAAAAACACCTTCGCACCCCAATTCGTGGGTGCTTGGTGTTTTCTTGTTCTCTCTTGTTGTTTTCGACGAGGCACCGCTGTAATCCCAACGATCCAGTAGGCAAACCAGGCAAAGATCTCAACGGGTGTTGCTTGATCTTGCCAGCCAAAGAGTGCTCGCATTAGGACAAAGAAGCGATTGGTCTTGTCATTGCAACAATCTCGAGCATCCCAAACATTCCTGAGAGGTCTTGCTCAGAGCTGCCTTTTTCTTATGTTTGCTGCTTATACCTCCAAGCACATCCAAGAACATATATCATGACACGTGAAAAACCGTGCAATATGGCCGTCTCTGAAGTCTAAAAGCACCACTCTCCAGCAGCTTTACTACGAACGTCGCAAGGTTCGCTCCGTCGCTCACTCGGCCGGTAGTTGCGGCCCGGTGCACCGAATTAGACTTGAGTCAAATGCACTAGACGATACAGACCATTTAGAATAGATTCACTATATACAATAGTATATGAATGGATGTATTATGTAATTGTAGTATATTGTATCTGGTGAAACATATCCGATACATATATACATCAGTCTATATCAGTCTCTTCCTTCTCAACCAGGCATCTAGGTATCTCGATTGATTCCCCAACACCCAGCAAAGCATAGCTAATAAGCTATGCTTTTTTTCGCGCTCAACGGAATGCTGCCCGTTTATCTGTCTCAACGGATCCGCCAAGCGTCACGTTTTGCCAGGGCCGCTCGGAGCGTGGGCTCCAAATGCCGAAGACGTCCAACTCCTGCAGCTGGTGCATGGAGGCCGAGAAGAAGCCCGCGGCAATGAACATCAGCAGGATGGCAGATCCACGCATGAACCAGTCCACGCGAACCTGCACGAGTCTGGTGATGTCCGGATGGATGTCCGGATGTCCAGAATCCAGACCAAGACGAGGAAGGACGAGGAAGACGGTGACGACGTGTGAATCAAAGTTTCTGAAAATTCGGGTTCTGGAGGCCAAGGTCTGTTACATGAGTCAAAATCTGGAAAACTGAATATATATTCTAGTGGCCAAAACGTACGTGAGCTGATACCTTATCAAGTCCATGTGCTAAGTCCTTTCGACCCAAAAGCCTTCTTAGTGCCTTGGAAAAAGCAGCAGCCCACCAGGCGGGACAAGATCAGGGCGCTAATGATTGGAAGAGGCAAGGAGCTCAAATCCTTCCTGAACAAGGAAAGGACACAATCGCTGTTTGATGTTAGTCACGTGGGTAGCCGCACGGTGGGAAGGGAAGCTGCAGCTACAAAGAGGTCACTTGTTTGCCAGCCTGCGCTCCACGCTTTTTGCTGCATAATAGAAATATGTTTGGTTGACTCGTGTGTCAAGATGTGCTGGATATAATACATGTTTATATAGTCACTGTATTCTAATAACTTTGTAGACATATTTGCTCTTCCAATGTGTTGTCCTCTTTTTTCCGGAAGGAAAAATACTGTGCAGTAACAGATTCAAAAGCTCAACAGGGCTCCATGCGTGCACACGCTTCTCTACTACAGTTTCACAGGCAGCAGTTTTAAACGATGCTCAAATCAAAGTCTTGAAGAATTGGGCTGATTGAGCTCTAGTAAGGTTAAAAAAACTCAATGAACAAACACATAGTAAGGTGAAGAAACCACCCCAAAGGCATGTACTGCACTGAGGGCAGCGATTAATTGAGCCATAAAGCCTGGAGGTGCCCCAAGAAAAAGAATCAGCATCTCTTCCACGCCAAGATTCACGTCTGTGATCACGCCCACCAAGAAAACGATCGATTCCAAGCCCTCTCGCAGCCCCGTGGTAAAGGCCAAGACAAAGAAGGCACGCCTCCGGCCAAAGCTCACCTGACCGGAGCGGAACCTCACCAAAAACGGGACCTGTCGCTACTCCGAATGCCCCACAGACGATCACAATGGACTCGTAACTGCTCTGTTTTCCACGAACGAAGGGTCTTCGGCCGGGGCTCGAAGAACGAGACCTCCTCTCACCATTCCCCCAGACTTCCCCCAGTCCAGTCGCCCAAAGACGTCGCGGGTCGGAAGCTCCGCGGTGGTCCTCCCGGCCTGGCTCCCAGTCTCGGCTTCGCGGGTCGCCTCCAAGGTGGCTTCCATCTGGGCCTTCATCTTCCGTTCGTGCGCTTCCTGCAACGAGGACAACGAAGGTCGTCCGGTGGTTGATGCTTCGAACCCTGCACCTGGCTGTTCTTGGTGGAATCTGGACGAGCACTGCCCCCTGCAAAGGAATTAGATTCGATCGTATATACACACAGCTATATATATAGCATGCATGATATTCAGAAAAAAATCACCAATATTATCAAATATTGTTATATCTATATATATATATATATCTATACACTGTAATTCATGTTCAACACATCCATCTGGAGTGAGTGTGCTTTCTTTTGGCTGAGCGAAGAAGAGGGGCAAAGCTACCCAGCACCAGTATTGTCCGGGTGCGTTTCAAGTAGAATTGCCTGTCGCCTTCAAAACAAGGCCAGGGGGGTCATGTTGCGCCTGCATACAAGCATCTGGAGAGAATCAAACAAATGCAAACTGCAAGACAAAAGAACTTCAACCGTGGCAACCTTTATCAAAAAGGTGTGTGTTCCTCGAAAGCTAATTGAAGTTTCCCATGGGATGAATTACCACCCTACCTGACAAAACTCTTCCCTTGGACATCACTGATTGTGAATTCTTTGTAGTTAACTAATTCCAATATCTGAAGAATTCAGAACACATTGTGGCGCGTTAGTGAACGCTATAACCGTTGGGATGGACCCGCGGCGGTCATCCGCGCTCGAGCCAGGCCGATGGTTTGGCCCCACGGGCCGGACGGGTCCTTGGTGAAGATCATCTTGTAAAAGTTGACGGCCAAGAAGGTCAAAACAGCGGAGGTGAGCATCATCATGCAGAACTGGAAGATGCGTTCCTCGCAGCATCGAATGCGTTTTGGAAGCCCCGGACGCTACTCGGTACCCGACGGTCCAGCTTCATGAAGAGTGAAACCGCTTTTTTCATGAAGAGTTCACGTTTCTTTTAAATTCCAGCAGTTGGGGATTCTCAACGTGTCTCTTTCCGACTCTCCCAGATCCAGATCCCACACTTCGTGACTAGTAGTGGATCTCAGTGATCTGGGAGAGGCAAAGACTCAGTGAATATCAAACCTTCGTCCGTGATCTCAGTGACTGCAGGTGACTGCAGGGAGTACTTAAGGTGACTGCAAAGAAACCGATGTGACTGGTCCAAGACCTGGATCCAACCCGGTAGGTGCCGGGTGTCTCTTTTGCACCACCAAACAAAGTTTGAGACCAGGTGTTAAACTAGTCAAGTAAAAATATACTGTACCAAAGATTAAAGAACATATGTGTATTTTGGGATATCCCAAAGCCACCTCCCTGCTCTTCCACATCATGTTCCAGAGGTCATGCGTGGCTTAATCAGCATGTGATCGTCTTCTAGACCAGTGCTTTTCGGGGACCTCCCCATATTTGCTGCACATTTTGTAATTTTGTACCCATAGCATCGCCATCTGCCACTCTTTGCCCACACCTCCAGGGTGCGATACCTGGACTCTTTATGACTCGGTGACATCACATCAATGTTTCGCAGGTCCAAGAGGTCTTTCTCATCCAAAGATCGAATGAACAAACATGAACAAACTACAGTACCAAAGGTTCCGAGGACGATCCCCTTCCGTTGACCTCCACCGATCGCCGTCCCGCCGGGGACGTTCGTCGCCTTCGTTCGTGGCCGCGGTGCATTGTCGCCTTCGAAGAGCTGATAGGTCAACGAGGCCAAGGCCAAGAAGCCCACGCCGAAGCACAAGCACAAGGCGAAGCCCAAACCGGCGCCCACATAGACCTGCGGGGCGGTTGAAGATGGTACAGAAGAAAGATTGAGGGAATGGTGCAGGATGGTGCAGGAAGAATTGGTGCATCTCCAAAAAGGGAACAGCTCAGAGAAGGGCTGGCTAAGGAGCATGAGAAAAGAAGATGAGATATGATGAGATGAAGGGGACAAAAGTGGTCAGAAAAGCAAGACATAGCAAGACTGGCAAGTGCGGGAGAGTGCCAAGCGGGAGAGTCTGGTGTCGGTGGTGTCGGTGGTGTGGATGTTTCCGCTAAATCATCCCTACCAAGCTACAAGGGTTGAACATACGCAAGGTGGTCTTGAGAGGGAGAGGGACCATGTAAAACCATGTAAAACCCTCGCATGCTCTGTATGTGCTATTGCTGGGAGTTTTGCGGGCCAGTGCAGGATTTAGCCCGTAAACAGCCGGCCGGTACTATTGCTGTACATAAGACTACATATTGACGCCTATTTCAGAATAGTTCAGATGCAAATCTAATAGGATTCATGGGCATCTCCTGCAAAACTCTAGCGCCACCGTTCTCAAGAGCTACCATGGAAACCAACACCTTAAGTCTTTTTCACAGAATGCGAGGCTCCCATCCCATCCAAGAACTCTTCACACTGGGGATCGATCATCCGACAGCTGTCGGTCCTCGCTTCAGCGAATGTTCAAGTTCCACACATTTCCACACACCTGTCACACCTGGATCAAAATCAAGAAATGACCAATGGCACTGCTTGGAAGTGGGTCCCATCCTTCCAGATTGCTCCACCAACGCCATGGAGTAAGGTGCCCAAAAGTTCGTTCTGTGTAAGGCACAGGTCTTGAACTTAACTACCCTTAGGTACTGTGGTAGCACTGTGGTAGCAAGAACATGAACGTTATTGAAAGGCATTAGGGGTCAAACACCATTGCCTATAGGCAATGGTTTGACCTTCCAAGTTCCGGAACTCTGCACCGGTCGACCGTGCTGGCTGGTGGCTGGTAACTGGGTCGCCCACCCCGGACGGGTCGCCTCGCGTCGGAACTTGTAGTACTGCTCTGGCTGCATGAGACCGTCCTGTTCGGGGCTGTGCGGGGGCGTTTTCCAGGGCCGAGCCCCAAAACCCTAGGGATCCAGTCGTACCGAACCTCAGGTACGGTGAGTGGAGACCGTGTGTATAGGTGCGTTTGGGGGGTCCAGTCGTACCTTCTCAGAGAGGATGTGGATCCCTAGGGAAGATTAGATGGACACAGTACTGTAATACAAGATTCCGCGGATGGACACCGCCCACTTGCGCCCACCGCCCACTTCCAACATGCAGTTCTGAAAAGACTTGAAAATACTGGATGCCCAAAAGAGCGGTGACTTGCCCCATCTTGCCCCCATGTCAGCAACTGACCTGCTTCATCTTTTGCAGAAACTGTAGGATGATGGCGAGGACGATGACAACCTTGAGTTGTATGTATAGCGTTCGATATGTCCGGCTTGCATGCGTTCGGTGCCAAGTCCTCTAACACGTGCTGACGGAAACACGCAGAAGTGATCGACAAACCGAGCATCAAAGTTTACACCAACAAGAAAGAACCGACCAACCGTACTGCCAAAGAACAATGCAGGACATACAAATTGGAACCAGACTGATGAGGTTCCAATTACTCATGTAAACGACCAAGCAACCTCCAGGCTCTCGCGGAACAGAACCACAAAAGCTGGCACGGAGAAGTAGATGTTCGCGACACCTGAAAGAAACAAACATACCATATATTAACGATCAGGCTGGGTGAGTTGGGCTGGCAAAAATGGACCATGCGCCATCTGGTCATACATGGTCATATAATATGACAAGATCCTCCCAGGTGTGGCTTTATGTCCTAAAATGTCCCAAACATGCGTACAGTATCCTAGAGAAGCTTTGCTTTTACTTCAATCGAGGAGGCCTTTTCTGATGGTATGTGTTCTTCGTTCGCATCAGCGTCATTCTTTCACAGCAAACAGAAAGCTCAAACGCGTGGCTCAAATTCAATAGTTGCCACACTCGAACAGGCAGCACGCAGGGCTGCAAACGTCGGTGGAAGGTCAATATCCCGCAGGGCCGGACGACTGGGCTTGGGCTTTTAACTACTAACATGCACGACGAGATGAGCAGCTCGCATCTTGGGGTTATGTTTTACATGGGGAGCACCATGGAGCACCTTAGCTTCTAGCTACTAGTAGTAATGCCAGGAGCTACTGGCAGTTTCTTGTTACTAGTAGCGATGGCCTCCACCTCGTAGCTTCTAGCTACTAGTAGTAACGCCAGGTGATGCGTTAATGACACATTGAGTCTAAAACAGTTTTTCTTTCTTTCCACACCCGACTGGTGCTCTTATCCAACGGCTTGCCTGTGCGTGGCTCTGCTTGGGTGATGTTGTTCGCCTGGCCCGTGGCTGCATCCACGCAATCGCACCAAGGCTCCCAGTAGACATGACCGTAGATCTCCGCACACTGCATTTCCTGAAGACAAAACTTGGAAAACTCTTGCTGGTTTCGCCAGAATCCATTGCAACAGATGTTTTCAAGGCGAGGATTTTTCTGCAGGTTTATGTGCAGCTTTCAACCCTCCAGAATGCCTACGATGAACTATGAATTCGTAGTTGAGTTTTGCTTCGTTGGCGCAAAGGCCGGTGAAGTTGTGGATGTCAGTGTGATGCGTGGCGATGTCTTAACATCCACGGGTGTCTAAGTTTGGCAGGTGGACAAAGTCCCATGAAAATGGTTTGGCGGCTTCAATTGGACCCTGAAGGATTGTGCAATTTATGTACTTGCTTTGAGTCTGTCACATATACTTGAGTGACTACTTGTGTGTATATGTGTCGTCGCTGCTGCAATTACTTTATTTCGAGTGATCCCCACTGAATCCCCACCATGACATTTCAATCATTTGTATTGAAGCCATAGTGAGGAACATGTTGCCATGGTCGTCAGTATTGTAGTTCTCGATGTTGCTTGTGGGTCCTCGGGTTGTGTGCTGTGGTTGTGTGTTGTGGTTGTGGTGTTTGTGGTTGTGTTTGTGGTTGTGGTTGTGACTGTGTGTTTGTGGCTGTGTATTTGTGATTGTGTCTTTGTGGGTGTGTTTGCGGTTGCGATTGTGGCTGTGTGTTTGTGATTGTGTCTGTGGTTGTGTTTGTGGTTGCGTGTTTGTGGTTGCGTTTGCGGTTGTGTGTTTGTGGTTGTGTGTTTGTTGTTGTGTTTGTTGTTGTGTTTCTGGTTGTGTGTTTGTGGTTGTGTTTGTGGTTGTGTGTTTGTGGTTGTGTTTGTGGTTGTGCTTGTGGTTGTGTTTGTGGTTGTGTGTTTGTGGTTGTGTGTTTGTGATTGTGTGTTTGTGGTTGTGTGTTTGTGGTTGCGTTTGTGGTTGTGTGTTTGCGGTTGTGTGTTTGTTGTTGTGGGGTTGGTGTGGTTGTGTTTATGGTTGTGTGTTTGTGGTTGTGTGCTTGTGGTTGTGTGATTGTGGTTGTGTGTTTGTGGTTGTTTGTTTGTGGTTGTGATTGTGGTTGTGTGTTTGTGGCTGTGTTTGTGTGTGTTTGTGGTTGTGTGTTTGTGGTTATGTGTTTGTGATTGTGGTTGTGGTTGTGTGCTGTGGTTGAGGTCTGGCAGGGAACACTTGGGTCTGGAGCTCGCGGTTGAGGTCCGGCAGGGAACACTGGGCGTGGATGGTCGTGGTTGAGGTCCGGCGGAGGAGGCGGAGGAGAAGGAGGAGGAGGAGGAGAAGAAGGAGGAGATGGGGCTAACGTAAAATCTAACAACCCTCACCTGACAGGTGGGGAAAAACATACACATTTCTGTTTCGCTTTCGGGGCATATTGTGGCCGCAAACGTCCCTGTTTTTCTGCCCGTGCCATGCACCAGGCCTTCAAAAAGGATGTAAAAAGCTGTCAACCCACCGACATGGCGGCGAACGTTGCCCCTGAGAGTGAGAGCGCAGGTTTGCAAGACAATCATTGGCTCAATAGAAAGAGACTCTCAATGATTCATCGGATCTCATCGGTCATTGGACCTACAGCAACCCAGCGGTAAAATGCTCAAGAGCATCACAATTGATGAATCGGTGAAAAAGAATCAGGAAGCTGCTGGCTGGATGTTTGAAACGAGTCAGTTGACAGGTCGAATAAACAAAGGGACCAATCGCGACGTGCCAAGCAAGAGTAAGATGGAAACAAGGGAGGCACAGGCAAGCCAAAGACAAGTGACGCTGGACACGGACTTGAACCTCCCAACACTGCCAGGAAATACCATACAAACATGAGTGTAAACATATGTAAAATGTAAACATATGTATACATATATATATGCATATATGCGGTGTCCAAGCCGCTAGCATGAACATGCCAGGGAGAGAAAGCTAACACATGCCAAGGCTTCTACAGCAGGTTTACGAGCTTATATATCACATAAAAAATGGCAACAAGTCGGAAGTATGTGCCAAGCTTGCCAAGTTGACTGTAACATCTGCCGTGACACATGGCAAAGAAAACAACTTTCATTCGAAGGACGGCTTTCAACGATCGGGGTCATCAATGTAATGCCCTGCTGACCCTTCCATGGGCTTGCGGGTTGATGGCCGTTGTAGAAAATACTGTTTCAGAACCGCTGGAAGTTCATGCGTTTTTCCAACTGACTGAAGCACGTGGCCACACGTGGCCGTGAACATCCTCAGTGCATCCAAGCATCATTCAGACCCCCATGACAGGCTTCATCCTCCTCATCCCAGCAACCGTACTGACAAATCAGTCCGGTGGTGTTCACATAGCCTTGGACAAATCCAAGTAAGCTCAGGCCAAGAAGCGCCGCACGGGTGGAAAACAGCATGACCTCTTCCAGGTTAAGAAGAATCGAGCAAGCGCTGCGCGAAGGATCTAGCTAGGGCCAGAGCTGCATCGACAGAGTTCATCAGAGTTCATGATCGTTTGGCAAATTCATTTCACAACTGTGGTCACGTCACGGTGTCACGTGTGGTCAATTTGGAGTCGGTCTTTCAATCACTCCCAAAGTGTAAGCTACGCAGCTACATCCACGCCAAGGTTCAATAAAATTATAAAGCAACATATTTGTTCCCAGCCAACCGCAATGGCAAGTAAAAGATAGGAATCAGTACTGACTCTTTGCGAATCAGTTTTTTTACTCGATCAAGAAAATACGGTTAGTGAGTGATACTGATTCTCAGTATAGGCCGTACAGGCCGGCTCCTCAAGCTGTGATGACTGACAACTCATGTGGTTGGCGAATTCGACGTCACCGAATCGACTTCAACCAAAGGAGTATAGAGTTCTGAATCACAATCACTACTGCACCACTGATTCCCCGTTTCTCGGTCTCTCCGACTCAGAACCTCTCACTGAAGGACATACGGCCGTCGTTCACAGCGCCGAACACGGCCCATTCATTGCGGCCAATCAGTCAATTCACAGTGACATCACAGTGATTGACCAAGGGAGCAGAGTACCAACGCACGAACAAGAAGCTACTAGGGGGGGGGCTCCTGGCATCGCTACTAGGCGCGATCGGACGCTACGAACGGGGCTCCTGGCCTTATACTACTAGGAACAAGAAGCTATTAGGAACAAGGGCATCGCTACTAGTAACAAGTGCGTCGCTATTAGTAACTTCTTTTTTAGAAACAAAGTTCGCTACTATCCACCACGAAAAAGAACCACCGAACTCCACCACCGAACTCCCATCGACACCAACCGTCCACCGAACTGTTCGCGCGTCCAAGACATCCAACCGTCCAACCGGCGGCCGTCTCCAACGGCGTCCGACGGACCTCGACCGGTGAGGTCCGGGGGGACGGTCAATACCCAGTCGACAGACGGACAGAACCCGGTGCAAACGCGGCTTCGAAATCCTTTCGGAACTGGTCAATTGCTTTCTGATGCTTTCTTTACCGTTCAAACACCAGATTTAGGTACTCGTCGGTGCAAACAAACTGATCTTCCTTTCATGCCCTTTCCATTGACTCAAAGTAAACTCGAGCCATGCAAGGGTCCACGGTGGCTTGCAAAAAGACCTCAACATCCAAGTTATTGCCCTGAGGGAAAGCCAAGAACTTCTCCAAAATGAGTCATCATTGGGGCTGCTCACTGCCAGTAGAACAACCTCCCGGTTGTTCGTGTGGGTTGCCAAGAAGTACGGGTTGACTCCGACTCTGGGTGTGTTGCCAACAAATCACGATGAGTCCCAGCAGAACCTCGAATCGCGGTGACAGTGCCAGCATCGCTTCACCTGGCGAGAACTGGCAAAACCAAGAAGAGAAGGAAGCTGGCCATGGAGAGACTCCAAAGGAGACCTTAAACACTTTTAAAAACAGCAGTTGCACATAGTTACAGAAAAAAAACAGCAGGACGCAGGAACCCTTTCTTGATCCCAAACATGTTTTCGGACATGTGTCCGAGGTGCCGCTGGAAAAATCTGGGTGGACATGGCAGGCATTGATACAGAAGGCCATTGATAATATGTTGAATCCCATGAACATCACTTTGATAGGTCATCCTGCAAGTGTTGACACAAATCTACATAGGTCCCTTGGTCGGACAAGAATTGCATAAAAAGGGTTCCTGGTGCTCAAAGCTACCGGCCTACATGAGAAACAACATCGCAACAAACATATGAGAAGGTCGTTGTAGCCAGCTAGAGGCCAAAAGTTGCCAGAAAACCATCCCATTGCCAACCAGCAGGATCCCCCCCAAAAAACCCATCAGAACTACGGCTTTTGCTTCCTCACTCTTTGAGTGCCTTCGTGGTCGTCTCCCTTCGTCGCCCAGACCGCCGAAGGAGCCTCACGGAGCCCTCGTCGAAACGGTCTTTTCAATCGAGCCGCCGTCACACGGTGAGACGAGACATGAGTCGTCGGACCGTTGAACACGGAACGCGCGGCCGCGCTGAAGTGCCCGTTCGGAACAGCAGATGAGACCGGTGACCTCTGTGCACCTTTAAAAAAAAGCCACCAACCTGACCAAAAGCTCACACTTGCAGAACTGCACTACCTGGTTTGCAACCTGTTCCATGCTTTTGATATCTTTTGATCCGCTCCAAGCCGCGGAATCTCGCTGTTCCTGGCCGTTCATGTGCTGTAGAACATCTGCGGCATTGCCAAGTTCCTGGGCTTGTTACAGGTGGCATTGCTGTGGACACTTCCCCTCTGAAGTTTCTGAAGCTCTTTGAATATATATATATATATACACGTCCTAATCACACAAACCCATGAACAAAGGATAAAAAAAGGCCTTCAGAAGTTACTGCCCCCAAATGTGTGGTGATGCAAGTACTATATAGTAACAACGATGATCAACGTATGAATCATCAATACATAATACAATAGGCAAAAAAGAAGCGTGACTCTGGGACAATGACCCTGCACAACAAGGTAACACAGGATTCCCAAGCTCGGCTGCCTGTAGTCACAAACCAGCCCTCTGTAAATCCTGTTTGAGCTCCAAAGAACGAACGAAACCGATGCCACTTGCTCACTCCTCGAGGTCGACCAACAAATGTTTCATCTTTCCTCTCCCAACAAGCACCACGCCCACGCTGGTTCCACTGGTCAAAATATCAGAAAACACAAACCTCAAGTCAACAGTTCGGATCAGTTTAGGGGGAGTTTGAGATACACTGAGCTGAGAGAGTGGCAAGCTGATACACTGTGCTCGCACAAACAGGATGTCACATAACATGCTGTGTGAAGGCGAGTTGTAAGGCTCAATTCCATCGACAAACACATCGAGTCTGGACAAAGAAATCGAACAAACACATCGATGTTGCCGGATGTTGCCCCAAATCTCTAGGACCTACCGGGTAGCCGCTTAAAAAGAACTCCCCAGGTCCTCCCAAACATGTCGCTGGGCGAGCGGACCAGGACATTGAACGACACGTCACGAAGACATTTCCCACACGAGGACCTCGACACGGATGTGAAATCAGGATCTGTGCAGATTTGCAACTTCACAAGTGAGAAAATCTGATCAAACCCAATGGGCGACTCAGAGTCACTTACAGAAAAGAACGTTTGTTGATCCTCTGCAGATTGAGTCAACTACTAGCGGGTCAGCTACTAGCATAGAGAAAACGATTCTGCATTACATCCTTTAAGTGCTTTGTGTTTCTTGCAGAGAAGGGGTCCTGGTTACAGGCGTGGTTGGTCATGATAAAACATACATCCTCGTCGGGTATCAAATGCCAAGGGTGGTATGGTATCAACAACCACCACCACAACTACAAAACAGCAGCAACAACAAATTGAGCTGTAATTAGCCAGAACAAAAGCAGGTGAAGGGATTCGGAATGGGAAGTGGCCCTTCCTGTCACACACAAACTATAAAACATGCAGCTGAGCCAGGCTGAGTCCTGCGACAGTTCCGTCCAGCGCCGAAGTCGAGAAGCGCCCGTCTTTCAGTGGACCTTGGAAAAGTGCCACCAAAACGTGCCCTACGCTATGCAGGATCAAAACCTTGCAAGAGAAGAATCTCAATGGAGCCTGTACCAGTACTGTGTACTACTGTAATCACCCCAAATCACCCTCAGTAGGGGTATCAAAGTATAACTTTCCTCCGTCAAACGACCAGTTCATCCCAGGAGAGATTGCAAGGTGTTTTGACTCCGCCATCTTGCTCTAGGTCAGCCTACCGATCCATGGGAGCCCGTCGGCCCAACGGCGGGGAACGCGGCCCACGCCGCGGGAAACGCTCCGCTGGGCTCTCGGCAACATGAGGTGATCGTGTTGCTGTGCCAACTCCCTGGCTTGGATGCCTCGCAACACTGCGCAATGGCAGTTCAGTGGTATTTTCGTGAGATCGGTGATGTCTCCTGCAATTCCCAATTTCGGACCCTTGAAACATGGAGTTTCCGCATCTACAAAAACATGATGGTTGTTTCATGTTGTTTCGCTTTGCAAGCCTGGGCCACTGGACAATGTGGAAAAACGAGTGAAATAGAGGAGGAGGAGGAGGAGCAGGAGAGGTCCAGGAAGATAGATTGTGATCGTTTCGAGGTCCTCACTGGACACGGTTCGTGGGTTTGGAGGCCCAACGGTCACGGGCCAACAGTCATGGATTCCCCTCAGCACCGAGAGCTCCCTGAATATCAGTGCAAAGCGAAAGACCCACTGGAGTCCGTGAGCCATGGAAAAGGGACACCCATAGGATCAGGAGAAAGGAACCTGTCAATTGGGTCCTAGATGGTCCTAGTTTCTTCAGGAGGCCTCTTGTATCCTCTTGTTTTGCTGGTTCTTCAGGTAGAATGTGGGATTTTCGAGTGATCAACTGGCACAAAACCGGAGATTCGGTGCAAATCCACGGAAGCCTGCCTTGCCGCCAGTGCTTCCGCGGAAGCCTCAAAGGTTCGGGCAAAACTGACTGCAGTCCACAGTGGGAGCAATAGGAGCATACAATCAACTTAGAACTCTAGTACACTCTGATATACTGTACTGTATCATATTTCCAACCTTCCACCAGAATCCACTACCCTAAGTCACTGGGCAACTGTTTTCTACGGGATGTCCTCTCTTTCCTTGAATGGCCATTTGCCTGGATTGGATCATTGGTGGACACTGTGGGTTGGGTGTTCCCAAGCAGAAAGGATGGAAAACGACCAAAAATAACAATCTGCAACATCTGTGGTGGACTCGAGGTGCGTCTCTGGAAATGACCTACAGGAGGTTCAAATCGTTTTTGAACTTTTGCAGGTGTGAAAAGCGATTCAGCGCACCGCCTGCAACTTGATTTGGGAACAACATGTCCATTGAGTCCATACGCAAAACAAATGACCTGTCTTGCTTCCATCTGAACGTAAACCTGATGTGAATGTGACATACAGTAACTTCAAGGTTTGAGAAGGGCCCGGTCTGGCCAATCGCTGCTTCGGCTCCTTCCTAAAAGGCCCAATCACAAATGTAAGGGACACCACATGTCTATTTTTAGACTGCCAATCTTTCCTTTCATTCCCACCTCCCACTTCCAGACTTCAAACCTTTCAAGCATAGAGAACATGATAAAACCATGCATATGGTCACTGGTCCCTTGGACCAAAAAATGCGGACTACACTCAGTGATCACCTTTCAAGCATAAATCAGCCTGTGCATATGATCTCTTGAAACATGATGCGGACTACTACCCACAACGATCGCTTGACCCAGCATTACCCGGCCGTGGCTTTTGCGGCTGTCGGGTGTCCCGGACGCTGGCGCGCTTCGTCGAAGGATTCCCGGACCACGCCGGCCTTGGCGGGTTTGGCGGTGGCTGCCTCACCCATTGGGAGGGTTCGAGAGTAACTAGCAGCTGTGAAACATGGGAAAAACATATGGGCGATTCATAGGAATCAGAATAAAGTCTTATAAATTGTAGATGAACAATGTAACAATGATGAACACAAACTGCTCCCAGAGGTGTGACAGCTAGTACATATAGGTATGTGATGATGATGATGATGATGATGATGATGATGATGATGATGATGATG